AATGAAACTTGCTTTGGAAGCAAACCAGTCTTGGTTATTTGTCCTGGCTATTATATTATTTTCCTTTGTCCTTCTGGTTTTGCATGAGTTACAGTCTGTCTTCACATATTTATAACATCAGGATTATGATGATTTCCATACTTGTAATGATGATCAGGGTATAACTGAGGTTTGTTAAGCGCTGGTAAACACAGCAGAGTTCTGTGACACATATTGGCAGACCAGATTAGGAGCAGTTCTAGAGACACTATAAGCTCCTTAATGCAATACTGATGATGCACTTTAAACACTCTGGCCTGGAATGTATTTCTGAATAATAATTAAACAGATGCTTCAAGTTGCAGAGGAAGTCTGTTGTCATGATGTATAACACAGATGACCAGTCTGAATTTCAGTCAGGCTTTGAAACTGACTTAACTGATTACCTGAGCCAGTCTATGAAACTATGTAAAGCAAACTAACGGAATTTGTGTTCTCTGCTACATAACATTCAATATCCAGTTTGTGTTGTGAATATTTGTTATGCTGTGTCTAGACTTCTCTCTTTTCAAAATCAAAATGCGATGAACGAGCTTCTTATGTTATATGGTAAATGCATACTTTTCCTCTTTTTCTTCATGTGAGTGTTTCCCACAGACTTTAAATTCAGTAATTTTGGAAGGTGTTTATAAAAGCACAGAATAATGTATCTTTGGCCAGTTTTCCTTGGAACTGATAGGCTCCTGGTAGATCAAGTTCACAAGCTTAGTTGTCAAAATGTAATCACAAGTATTTACAACATGTCACCTCAATTTTTGCTGTGAGCAGAGCAATCTTCACAGTTGCAACAACAACAAAAAAAATAGTACAAAATCATATTTTGCAGAGCAATTCACTATTATATTCCAACAATGATTTTATTTGCTAGACTAGATTTTAGTTTGGACAAGGAAAATCAAGCAAGCCAATTGCACTGGTTTTAAAATCTTACATTCAAGTACATAATTTTATATTCTATATTATTTTTAAGTAAAACTGTGAGAAAAATCCTGAACTGATTTCTGTGACACTAAAGCCTCATGAAAAGCAGTACATACAGAATATTTTTTTAAAAAACAAATTTTCTTCCCTTGCTATTGTTGTAACCCAGAAAGACAGGCAGCTGAATGCTTAAGGACAGTAAGGGGGGGAGCAGGGAGGAGGGGAGTGATGAGAGTGGTTCCTTGTGTTTCACCCTTTCATTGCTCTGCCTGATCATTTAAGGCAGAGGCTTGTTCCAGACAGCTTTAATTAAACTGTGCTGTGAAACTGTATATAGATCAATGGAAATGATCCATAACAAGAGGCTAATAATGGATTTAACAGTGTTCAGTCCAGTTCAATCACCTTCTTCCATTTCTGTGTCTTTACATGCATGTGGCAAAGCCTTGGATGTGTACATGTATTTTTTAATCCATCTCATTAGTGACCATATGCTTTGACTTCAAGGGAGACAAGAACTGTCTGCAATCTGCCAGGGATTTAGGGACATCAATAATTTGTGAATAGTCATGTTGGTACTGGTCGAAGGGTTAAGTGTTCTGCACACCAGGGACACATCTTTTGGGACTGGAACTCTTAGTCAACTGTTAGGAACCTGATCCCCTGTGACGCATCTTTTCAAAGTACGTGCTTCATGTCAGACCTGTGCAGCTGAAGCAACTGAGCTTTATTAGCTCAGGGATTTAAAAACCTGCTCTAAGCATAAGAATATCTTTTGGTTAAAATGTGAAGGAAAGATAGTAGTTCTAATATGAAAGTGATTTTTTTTTTTTGTGTACTGGGTTAAATGTGATCTTCCTTTTTGTTACCGTTTTCCTTTTCAATTTGAGCTATCAGGTGGCTCCTCACCTGCAAATATCTGTTGAAACACGCATATGTCACCAATAATAGGGACCTGGTTCTGTAAGCACCTAAGTGGAGTCTGTCATCTAACCTCATACTAGTTCAAATCCTACTGAAGCCAATGACAGCACAGATGTGAAAACAGTCTTCCTGGTCATTTGGAATTAACCTTGTAGGGACTCCCAGAACATTGTTTTATGTACTTGGTGTGAAAAGCACCTTACAAAACAATAGCTTATGATGTTATATGCCATGTTACATGAAAGGGATGCTAAGCCAGCTTGAAATCATCATTATAAAGATCACTATTTATCTCAATATGCTGTTCATACAGAAGAATGGCTGAAATAGATAATGCTAGAATTTCAGTTGAGAGAGGAAAGAATTTTTAAATATTTTCACATGATTTAGCTTATGGTTATATCCATATCCTTCAGATGTGCCTAGGTCAATAGAAAAGTGCATAGTGGATGAAAAGAAACTTGGTATGGAAGTTGTTCCGTTGACTTTTGCTGTTTAGTTGGAAATAGAGGGCAATTCACTTTACAGGAGGAAGCTCACCTGCTTTAGGAAAATGCCATGTAGTAATAATATTGAATTCTGTAACAGAAAATGAAAACATGCACATTATATACCACATGATTGCTGCTCACTAACCAGCTGCTTTTGTTTTTGTGTTAATAAACATTCTGCATAAGGGCAGACTAAGTAAATTTAAGATGATTATGCCACATAATTCCTGTTAGAGCTCCAGTAAACACACTATAATCCTCTGCCCTTTACACATCTTCACTTTCAAGATCACCTTTTACAAGTTCAGCATGCAACTAAGGAAACATTTCCCTAAGAAAACATTTCTTTGAACATAAAGCAAAGAAATTTTTGAACTCCAATGTGCATTTGAACAAAGAGTTTGAATGCGTCAGAAGTATCAGAAAGTGCTCACACTGTTGACTGAGATTCTTATTTATCTAAAAGCATAATTTGCAAGTTTTAATAAAGCATTGTGTCACATTAAAATATACAATTAGTATTGGAAGATTTATTTGTATGTAGTATTTATAGGAGGTTAAATGTACAGCTATCCGTTTTTGTACTGTGTCAGCCATCATTACACAGTCTGACACAGATTTATTTACTGTGCGTTATCTTTTGTGGGGACCTTACAATAAAATTTTACTTTTTTGGAAGACCTCATATCCTTTTTCCAGGGGAAATTTGCATAAGCAGACTTCTACTTACAGTTTTCAAACGTAAAATGTTGTACGTCTAAGGCAGAATATTTTCACATCATACCGTTTGATTTAGAACTATAATAAAACATTTAGAGACGTGTCCCAGTTTTCCAGCTACATTTCAGTTATATGTGTAGGCTCTGCTGCAGTAGTTTGCACCTGCAATAGAAAAGTGAGGAAGGTGTCTCCTTCTGATTGCTGAGCAAGTTCATTAGGTTATATTTAAATGTAAATATTTACAACTATTTTGGCTGCCTCAAAAAGCAAAAGGATGCAGTTAAATTTCAAATTCTTCCTTTGAAAGTAATACCTGGTTTTGTTATGGTAGCTCTTAGCACTGTTACACAACTTTTAAGGCTGTAAAAAGTAGAAGAATAAAATTATATTTTCACAATATTAATTGAAGAAAAAGAGGAAATGCTACTTTAGCAGTGCAGAATTGGTGATTTTTGAAGCTAATTTCCTTTACCTATTTCCATTTAATGCCTTCTGAGCTAACATAGCTATAAAGTTTACTGAAATTGAATTTTGGAATGAGAATATTAGCTGATGCTTAATTAGCAAGTCACTGAACATCTGAGATACATAAACAGAGCCACTCTTTACACATAACATGAAGTCCTTTGGCCTTTGAGGTGACTGCTGATCTTTGACTCACCCCATCTGTTTTTGTCTTTAATGTCAATGTTGTTAATACAGGAAAGCCAGCAGAATTCAGAAGGCTGGTATTGTCTTTGCAGTATTTCATAGGCAGTGTTGCTTTTATTACATTAATTTATTATACTGCTGCCAGGTAACAAGCTAGAACAGCTTTGGCACCCATGAATACAATGGCAAAATTCCTGTTTTATCCTATATGAGGTAACACTTTGACTGAACTGCCTATTCACAGTTACACAGGAAGTCATGCCAAAAAAAAAAAAACCAACCACCACAGTTTGACAGTCTTCAAGTTCTGCCCTCTTTACACTCTCTCTAGCCAAGAATGCTTAGTGTTGTAAAGAACTGCAGTAATCACAGAAGCTACAGACAGAAATAACAAAACCAAAAACTATGCAGGTCATACCATGTCATTCAGAAACTATCTTTTGCAGGGCTGTTTGGAAGGGTTTCTGTAGTCTGCTTTACAGGCTCTGTGTGGCTGGATTCCTACCATGTCCATTGAGGTTGCAGCATGTCCAGAAATGTCTTAGTACTGCCTTTTAATTTTCTATTCTTTAGTTTTCTTCCTTTATTCTCCTGATTAGTTTATCTCTATCATCATTCCCCTAGTGGACATGGAATTTACAGATTTCTGTCACAAAACAGTCTTAACCAAGCTTTTTGTAGCTGGGTATTTTTAGTAGCTGCAGATATGTATGCTGTCGTCCCTACACTTCCTTTGTCTTCAACACAAAATGCTTCCATTGATTTCAAACAGAAATCATATTCACGTTACTTAAAATGGCCCATTCTACATTCATAAATTGACGCAACAGGGTGAGACTTGAGAGCAGAAATTCACTTAGAGACAACCACGCATTCATCATCCAATTATCAGAAATTACAAAGAACTATATTTCAGCTGGTCTTCTGTTATTTTTACTGCCTGCACTTCATTTGGGCTTGCTGTATGTGTCACTGACAGAGCACTCAAAGCTGGTCATGCTTTTAGTTATTTTGCTGAATCCTGGCCTTAAATAGAATCATGTACAGTTGATCTCAAATTAGTTGACTTGGAGGTTGGAGATGGTGATTCTTCCTCCTGTATAAATTGAAAATTCAGTGTTGCATATCACTTTTGTTAATTTTTACTTCGTGATAGTTTTCAATATATTTTATTTTTGATTGGATGATTTTTAAGAGATGACACACAATAGTAAATAACACAGGAGATTCATGAATTGTTTTTTTCTGTTTTAGGGCTACAAGAAAACCTTGAAAAGTGCTTGGGCAAGAAGACCCCAGCTCTGATTTTAGTACCTGTGGTGGATTTACCTGGCAAAGAAGTTATTCATATAACATGCTGGCTAAGCTAGCAGCTTAAAAGAAATGAGCTGATATCAAAACACACATTCATCCAAGAAAGAACAAAGAATTGATCATGACTGTGTTGGATACTTTCCTTAAGAAATGTTGTTTGATTTAAGCGAAGTCATATTTAGCTTGTTAATGATGCCCCATGATATGTGACAGAGTCAGCTTTGTATGAACAATAAAGGTTTCTTTTCAAAATATTGTGCTTTTTTTTAACTTATTTTTAGATACATTCTGGCAGTAACAGGTGGATCTTGGGAAATGACAGTTGCTCTGATCACATCAGTTCTTTAGTTTGATATATTGAGGCCTGGTTACCATGAACTGATTATAACTTCAGAACCTTAGATCCAATACTGTTTTAAAGACTTTGTTCCCTTTCAATTTTATGTTGAATTTACTGACTTCAAGTGAACTCACAAATAAGTTATTTGTGGCCGGTTATTAACCCTTTTCTGGACTGAGGAAGTATTATTCACAAGGATATTCAGGACAAATATTTTACCAAAATATGTGATGGAGGTGATGGTTAAACTGTAGGATTTGCCATCCCTGTATCTGAGGTGATAGTGCCTTCATGCTGTATATCCTGGAGACAGCTCTTAATGAAGAGCTACCAATATTCCCCAGGGCTTCATTCTTCCCTGGAAAATCAACAGGAGTTTTACCTCTGCTTTTATTAAAACAGTCTCAGACTCATAGGTGAGGCTCCTATTGATCTCCTTGCATTGATACTGTACTTATGACGTAGGATTGGTATAGGAGGGGAAGCCTTTTGGATATAGCTTGAGGCAGTACAACTGTAGAGAAATCTTATTTTAAGGCAAAAGCTATACAATTAAGCCTTCAAGAAAGAAACTTTTGCCAGTGTTCTACATCTATTTTCATTGCTTCTTTTCTCAAGTGTGAGTAATGGAGCTACATGACCAGTATGACATTTACCCTTTTTCTATGCCAGCACGTATCTGAGGTAACTCCACCAAAGTCAGATGAAGGGCAGGATGTTTATATAGGGTAACACTGCAGCCACACTTTCTTCCCCAGTACCAGATAGGCACTTGGAGCTGATACAAAACCAGTGTCTAAAGATAAGAGAATTTTGCACTGTCAGATATCCTGCATGTCCAGCATATTATGTTGATTATTACCTGAAAATAGACTGTTAAATGCCATTTTGCTTTACCATTACATCAAGAAATACAGTAGAACTGCCATCCTCTTTTGTAACAATTATATTTGTCATACTTATTCAAATATTTTTAGAAGAGAGAAGGCAGAAAGCTTTTTATACTACAGTGTTTGAATACATGGATGCATTAAATTAAATTTAATAGCAGGAAAAAGAAGAATCTGTTAACAACATATTGGTTTGTTTGCATTCAGCATCATTTTTAGGCTACACTAAAACGCATTTGATCTTTGCTCTTCCCCACAGTCAAAAAAGATCTTGCTAATACCTGGATGTGCCAGTTTTATTTGAATTCTATACTTTTATAAGACTAAATCATTTTCTTTCTTCTCCCTGGAAATATCAGTATTTTCTTTCACTGCAGTATGTCCACAGCCCAGGGTCTCAGAATCTCCCTTTTCCTGTAAGTTTTCCTTAAAGATTCGTGATTCAAACTATCCTTTTTTTCTAATACTGAGAAATGAAAACATAATGCATTGGTTTATAAAACGGTATAATATTTTCTTCTTCAACAGAAAGGTTGTTGATTTTGGTTTGTTTGTTTGTTTTCGAGGCTAGAAAATCTTCAGTGGGTTTAATGGGTTTATTTTGTGAACAGGTAAAAAAGAACTATCTGAAGACTTTCTCCTTGAAATGCTTCATACATCTTCTAAGTGTCTGAGTAACTAAAACTATAAGATGAGTCTACTGAGCTTTAAGAGTGAACAAGGTGAACAAGGCAATTTCTTCAACACTGATTTGCAAGGTAAGTGGGTAAAATGCTGTTCCATATAGGAACCTAAGACTTTTATAATAGAAAGAAATGTCTTAACGCCATTTTATCTGCTTTATGCTGCAGATGCATCATAATTACTGGGTCCTACTGTGAATAAGTTGTTTCACAGGTCTTCTTCAGCTTCTTTGTAACACATGTGCTAGCTGAAAATAGACGGATAGGAGACAGGCACATGGGCACATAACTACACAAATGTTAGTTTTCATGAAAAAAAGAAAAGACAACAGATACTTAAAATTTATAGATGCAATTGTTTTGGTTTTTGTTTTTCTTTGGGTTTTGTTTGTTTACTTTTTTGTTTGTTTGCTTTATTCGTTTGAAGGATAAGCTTTGGTGAGTGTTTACATCAGCAGATGTTAATTTTGACTATATATATTCCTCCATGACACTAGTTTTGAGGGTTATATATAAGCACACAGATTCTAACATTTGGGCTTGCAGGAAAATATGTTCTGCGAGTATTATGACACAAAAAAGGTTTGCTGATCATTCGAGAACTCAGAACTCAAAAAAGCTAAATAATTTCTGGGAAGATGTTTTTAAAAAGTAACCCATGAATTTAATTTCTTCTTTCTCTGATGTAACGAGTGTTAAAAGTATGGTAATCACTTTTTTTTTTCCCCAAAAAGCAATCCATGCCCTCTTACAGATCTCTGTGCCAGTGAAGTTCTGTCTCCTGCCTCTTTTAGAAATCTGTGTATTGAATTCTTTAATTGTTTAATATTTAATACTAAAATGAAGTGGTCAAATGAGACTGCAAGACCAAAACTGATTTAATAACTTCGTGTGTTACTCATTTCAAAACCCAATGATGTCTACAGTACCAGTGAGCCTTTACAATGCACATGGCTAAGCTGCTATAAAGTCACCAGGGCTGATCTTCCTAAAGAGATTTAAAAATGACATTGAGATATTTTAAGCAGAGATCATGTAATTTTTTCTCTGCAAGTTTTATAGTTAGGTGATTCGGGAGCTGATTTGTTACACCAGACAGCACTGGTGCATCTTTCCCCTTGGCTCTCCAAAGTCCAATGGGCAATAGAAGCAGGATATCTCCTGAGTATTAAAGAGGTGAGCTGAAGCAGCTACTCACCTTCAAGGACGTTATGCTCAATCCATTACCTCCTGTCTACATGCAGTAGTCTAGTCTATCAAAATACAGTGATTGAATAAAACTTTTATTTCATATAAATGAATGCAGTGATTTAATAAAAAGTTTGTACTGCACGGTATAATAGTTCTCTAAGTGAATACTGAAATCCTAAAATATAGACACTTCTCATGTTTCCAAGTTAAAGCATTGTTACTTCTTTCCAAACGGCTTTGCTGAAGCAAAGTTTATCCTATGCATTAAACTATCCTGAGCTCTCTGAATAGTGTTTGACACTTATTATTTAAGTAACCTTCTTTTAGTATTATAAATGTCTGGCATTAGGAACACGTATTAAGAATACTTGACAATTTACTAATTTATGATCTCCTTAGTTGTATTTTAATATTTTTGGCAAGCCAGCCTGTGTTGATGTATTAGCCAAACATTCAAAATTCAGACTTGAAATCTTGAAAGTCTTTTTTTCAACTTTCATCTGAACGCTGAATATTTTTGACATATTTTAAATTTTAATTTTAAAAAACAGATTGGGTACCTGTGAACTGAACCCGTATGTTACACGCAAGTGCCCTTTTACTGATGACTCACTGCTCACAATTTCTTGGCTTTGACTTTTGTTGGATTAATTCATGGCTAGGTTTTGCCTTTCTCATTTTTTAAAGCACTGTCTGCTTTTTCCTTTTACTTCCAAGCAGTTAGTTAGGTTGTCCTGAGGATCTTCTCAAAGGTTAAGACCTGGCAGCACTGTCTCGTTATTCCTTTCACTCCCGATTTCATGCAGAATGTTTGAAAAGCATCTCTTGGATATGCCTGCTCATTGTGAATTTCCTGTTATATTGCTGTTTCGTGATTGTATTTTTAATCCTAAGTCATTTTCAAATAATTTTACAGTTTACTCAATCTGAAAAGACCTACTGTCCAGTAAAAACAATACGTGCTAAATAATGTGGTCATATCTCACTCCTACTTCTCCCATCTTACAGCAATTCCAGCTCTTCTCTAAATTACACAGATCTCCCATTCAGAAGAAAACATTTTTTGAGAACAAAAAACTAAGCTGAACTAAATGCCCTGAACAAATTGACGGACACTTTGATTCAGTAACCTGTTAGGGGACTAGAGTCAGGAAATGTAAGTTAGGGTCATGCCACCCCTCTTCTGGTTAACTTTAAGCACTCCCATTACTTTTCATGTGCCTCTGTTACCATATTTGTATCTTTGAAATAATGTTTTCTCACTCTTGTAAAGGTGTTGGCAAAGAGATGCTAAGTTGTAGTCATACAACCTGCAGTAACAAAAAAGTTTAGACTGAGTGAACAGCACACCAGAGTGTGAAAATAATGTTGTAGTGGGAGCCATAATGAATGTGATCACAGATACCAATTTGCATGAGCGCAATCTGGAAAGCTTTTCTCCTAGCACACCGCCTGCAGCACTCTCAGATCGCAGGAGCAGTATGTAATCCACCCTGTAACACTAACGATACATTTCACAGCATGATTCCTCTGGTGGTCTCAACATGTCATACAAGCCCACGACCCACTGTTTGTGTGGGCCATCAAGGGAGCAGCCATGTACTGCAGGCCTCTCCTCACAGCGCCGGCATGTTGGGCTATAAGCAGGCTTCCCCTCAGGGTGGACATGTTGGGGTTTGCTGCTCGAAGGGGAATTCTGCTGCTCCCTGCCATCTTCTGGGCAGGGATGTTTGTTTTGGCAGGAGCACAGTTGTAACAGAGATTCAGGCTTCAAAGTCACCAGGTAGTTAGTCTTGCTTTCTGTTGCTTGCGAGATTTGTTCCACTTCAGATTTTGCCAACGCAGAAGGGAAAAAAAGCTCTCTGGTGGGTTCCTGCTATGGACAACTTTTGCCAATTCTAAACAATCGTAACTTCTCCAGTACATCCTTTTACTGCCATATCCCCACTTTACAAGGAAGATATTGTTCCTCTGACACAGAAATCATGATGTCGCATTAGGGGTGCAAGCTCATGCAAGCACAACTTCAGCTTCTGTGCTTCTCATGTTTTAATTGTTGCTGCCTTGGCTTTATTTTGTTGCTTATAGAAGAATATGAGTTCAGAAGGAAGAAATACATTTCTCAGCTGTAAGAGTTCTCTCTCCCTC